ACATTTATAAATGTATGAATCACTTGGTGAAAAACTGATTTTTAAAAATTAATCTGTTCTTTTTTTCTTATAAAAGTCTAAATAAAACTAAAATATTGGTGGTAATTTTTGACTGTAACTTTACAAACAGCTCATATTAAATATTGTTTTATTGTAAATAACCTGGTCCAGGTGTGCAGAGTCCAGGTGTGCAGAGTCCAGGTGTGCAGAGTCCAGGTGTGCAGAGTCCAGGTGTTTTTTCAGGTAGAACAGATTAAAAACACTGAAGATGACTAAATTTGTTGTTTTCTCTCAGCTTCATCACAAACTATCAGAACAAACAGAACTCAGGCTCGGTTCTGACCCGGTCACACTCACCTGAGTCCGGAACACCTGCCGGTTCCTCCCGCTCGGAGCCTCCATGCTGCTGACCGGGTCCGGGTCTTCCGGTTCGGACCCCTCGCTGGCTTCCCCCGGTTCCGAGTCGTTGTTCGGCGGCCTGGCTCGGTCCGGTTGTTTCACCTTCGGTTCCGCTAATGTATCTGATCCGCTACCGGTCACCGTGGCAACGGGCTTTGTGTTGCGTTCAAGGTCCGCGCAGAGAGTCGGATATTCAAAGAGAGTGTCTGTTAGCAAAATATCTGCCGATCCACTGGGTGGATTTTACTGAAACCTTCAGGAAGTAATCACTGGAGCTTCCTCTACAACTGACAGGTCAGGTCAAGATGGCCGCCTGAGCTAATGAACATTATCAAACACAAATCAGTCAGTTTTACAGATATGCAGCTAAAACTCGGTGTGGTAGTAACTGAGACTTATTTACAGAACATCTATAAACTCAAATAAATAACAAAGTCTTTGTTTAAAAATCTGACAGTGACAACATGACCCCTTCAAGGAACAAGATTGTGTTAACACTGAGACTGTGTTAACACTGAGACTGTGTTAACACTGAGACTGTGTTAACACTGAGACTGTGTTAACACTGAGATTGTGTTAACATTGAGACTGTGTTAACACTGAGATTGTGTTAACACTGTGATTGTGTTAACACTGAGATTGTGTTAACACTGAGACTGTGTTAACATTGAGATTGTGTTAACACTGTGATTGTGTTAACACTGAGATTGTGTTAACACTGAGACTGTGTTAACATT